TTAAATATGAAACACTCAAAACAGTTTTGGAATGTGATTGTGCTGCAGAGCTTGGATACATCTTGGATACTAAACTTGTGTATAATTTTAAAAGTGTGAATAACCTCCATCTTAATTATCTGATTAAAAAGGAAACCAATCAAAACAATATAAGTAAAGAAACAGGTAAAGGTTTATTCCATGCAGAAAGGAATTAAATGTATTCTCTTTTCCTTTGAGCAAGGGATAAATCTTTACTTGTTCCTTTGCAGCCAACACATGCTGACATAACTACTGTACCTACTCAAATACCTGTAACAACAGAAGATACAGCATCACTACATTTGTTTTTAAACAAGTACAGTACATGTGCCCCAACAACTTCATCACTGAAAAACAGTGCTTTCAGACAATAGCCTCAGGGATATGTTTTCTTCTAGCAAGGTCTTGACATGAGAATCTTAATATTTTGTGCAGCTAACAATAAAACAATACATGAAGCACACTTCTACAATGGATCACTGTTTTCCACCCCTAGTGCAAGTCACATTTAAAAAACTTAAGATGGGTACATACTGTCAAATTATACTTCAACAGAGCTGAAACTGAACCAGTCAGATCCACGTCATTTTAAGGTGAGATGAAATAGCTGTCTTTTGAACAGTATGTCTTTACTGGGAAACTTAAGTAGTAAAAAACGTATTTTTTATCTTGGCTAGGCTAATTCTGGCAAACTAAGGCATCTACAGTATTTGGGCCAAAATAAATAAATAAAATACTGGAATCTGTGTTGGCAATGATAAAATTGACTAGTATTTTGAAATTCCTTTCGTCCCCTGCCATGAATGTCCTTGGAACATTATTTGCTTCTTCTGTGTGTAAATTAATTGAAATATGGATTTTTCCCAAAACTCCCAAATCCACTTGCTTCTAGACTCATAAACCTTTGATTTAAAAAATATATATATTTCACTGAAGTTTCTACTGTCAAAATGGCTTGAATCAATTTTGACTACAAGACAGTTCTCATACTGGAATTGTATTCTACACATTTACATGAGAAAATGTCAAGAATAAGGCTGCTGAAAACCATCCAAGTCTGATTATGCATATTGGGGACACCTATGTACACTACGGAGGAGGTGAGATTTGCAGTTATTCCTGTTATTACTTCTTTACAATCTAGAACTGAATTCCTTTCCTCTGACTTATTGGACTAACAGTGCAAACATTAGCCTGTTTAATACAAGGGGCAGATAACAAGTCATGGGGACTTGATGATTAATGCGAATACAACAAAAAAACACAGAAGAGGGAGTAAAAGCGAATATGTCCTTATTCAGTGAGTCACCCTCCTGTTGGGAGCTGAGAGAATGATTTCTGAGGGTCTGGGTTCAACAGGAAAGACCTGTAGGTGCATTATTAAAAGCTTGACCTTTGGCATTGTTGCAATTTCACCCCAGTAAGATTTACCGGAGATTTCAATCCACTCCCATAGCTTCTGAAAAATCCAAGTCCTACCTGTTCACTCCCCTGTGTGAGAAATGCTTTAACATGAATGAGAATTGTGAGCAGCACAACAATGATCACCTTTGGAACAACTGCCTCCCGCAGATGAGAACTGCAGAGTGGCAGAAAAGAAAACTCCTTCAGAGATAACTACTTAAGGTCTACTAAACTCTTGACTACTTCTGAAGAAAAACTTGAAAGGGAGAGGATGTCGAGATGCTCGAAGTAAAACAATACACTTCTTTGTTCTTCAAGTAGAAAACTTGTCTAATCTGCATGAACACGGAATAGACCATAATAAAAGCTTTCTTTAAGTTAAAAAATGGAAATGTGATAGCTCTGATGATGGCACTGTTATGCTAAAACATATCTGTAATGCTATCTGAATTAAAACTTATTTCAGAAATAGTACTGCCTCCAATTACTAAAAGTGCACTTTACAGTAAATGCTGATTACTAGGATTTTCCTTTGAAGTGTTTTTGCCCCCATGCATGGGATTATGAGTGGTCTGAATTCCAGGAGGCAAATGTACTCCTTTGCATTCAGGTGTCATGACACTGCAGTGGATTACCTTGGCTCAAGGTCAAGACTCACTGTGCACAATTTTGAGTTTTACAGTTGGAATGGATCATGATTCAGGATTTCATATTATACTCCTGTCAGTCCTAAGTACAGTCAAAGGCCCAGCTAGTCCAAGCTTATTATTGTATGTTTTGCAGCTTTCTTGAACTTTGAAACCTCAGCTACAGTAAGATAATCTATTTTAAGGACTGACATGTTGTAGTTATAGCCATATAAAAGCTGTGATACTCAGAAACAGGTTTCTCATTCACAGAAGCTCCTTCATTGTGTAGGCTTCATCCGTGCTGTAGATTTAGCTTCATCCGTGCTGTAGCTTTAGGGGAATAGATCCCTTTATATTAAAACAACATACAGCATACAGCAATTAGGCAGGCCTGATAACTGCTTGGGCTGAGTCACCCTCCAGTGCATGCTGTCATTTGCTGATTATGTTCAGCAAGTACAAAGCAGACACCTATTGAGGCTGTAAAGCTCATTACACTAGAAAGTCATGGTACAGAAGGTAGTTGGCTTCAGATATGAGTTACTTGTTGTACTTTATGTCATCATGCTGAAAAAAAGTCATTTGAATGCAGAGGAAATTGTCAAAACATTGCAAGTTTGCAATGGTGTTGCTAATAAAAATAGAATATGCGTGAGGGTAAGGCACTACTGTATGACATTGATATCAAACCACAATTTGACAATAAAAAAAACATTGAACAAGGAAGGGAAACAGTTATCAAGTAAGGATGCTTGTAACTTGGTGAGAACTTCTTTCATTAAAAACATATTAAAAAGTTAGCTTTCTTTTAAAAACAAACAGAGGCGTTGAACACATTTAAACAAAATAACCTTTGGTGTGATTATGGTGTCCACGGACCTGCACAAACATATATTAATATACTAACACATAAAAGCCATGGGTTATTATTACTTAAGGAAAGACCCATATCAACATATATTAATGCTTACTGCTGAGATCGCGCTTTCTTTAAAGCAGGAAAAAGAAAATATCCACAAAATTTTTGCTGAGCCCAGAGCTCTTGTTGGGAGTATCTTTCATTCCCACAGAAAACACAGTGCAGCCTGTTCAGTGAGGGGGATTTCTCTTCAGATATTTAAAGTATGCAGGGAGTGAGCAGCACATGAGCTTTTCTTCCCTTACTTCCAGTTTTAAATATAAGACCTGAAATCTCATTTTTCAAAAAGGAAATACAATGTCGTGGTGTGTAGGTTATTCATCGGCTCACTATTCTAAAAATTATTTATTATTTTTTTTAAAGGATTGTTAATAGAAATCAAAGTGATTATTCTATAATTATAAAAAATCCAAAACATCATTCAAATCAAATTATAGGAATTCATTCCTTAGAAAGCTTGGATTGAGTCATAGTTGTCCAAAGAATACATTTTTCTTTCTATCCTGTCAAATGCTACTGAATGTCTTATTATCATATAAATTTCACACCAGAAGACAAACAATCATATTTATGCATTAATGTAAATACACAATAACACATACACAGATACTTTAAAGGACATTTTTTACCTAAAATGTCTGACACTTGAAACGCTATGTGTATTCCAGGTCCAGGAGCCACATGACATCTTATGCTCTTGTTAAAATTAATCACTTTGGATTCGGTGAATAGGTCAGGTTTGTACACCTAACTTTCCTTCCGTTTGCTTTCTAAACATTTTACACAGCGATCCTTCCTGAGATAACTGAAAAGATATGAATGTTTACCCTTAAGGTGCTGAAGAACAAGAATAGGAGAATAGAGAGATAACACCCAGATTGCTCCCTGCATCTGCCTGGAGATGTGTGATAAGGGAGTCATTCAGGTGATGTGGAAAAATTAAAGTGCAAGTTACAACAAGGACAGAATGGCGTCTTTAGAGCTCGACAGGCTTCTTGTATTCTGGTCTTCCACTTCCACTTCTATGTGTCTTCCACTTGTTACCTTTGATCTTGACAAGTTTCAGCAAGTCCCACAGAGTTGTCTTGTCTGGTTCAATACAACTGCGAATGTGAATTAACTTTTAAATCACTTTGCTCCACTGCAAAAACTGCTCCAACTTTTGGCTCTCACTTCTCACATTAAAGCTGAAATCCTTCCATTGCTTTTATTGTTTTTAAACTCGTCATGCATTTAAGGTTTACATCACAGGTAAGCCGATGATAGCTCAGCATTCCTCTCTCACTTTATCACATTCCACAGATAAAATAAAAAAAAATACTGCATACCCTTTCTTTCACCACCAGGAGTTAAGATCGATTTATGCTGTGTGCTAGAATGTAGGGCTGAACCATGATGCGCTGATGTGACAAATTATAATCATCACATTGCTTTCCATAACCACTTATTCAATTCAGAGTCACATCAGCCTGGGGCCTAGCTCAGGAAGCAGAGGGCTCAAGGCAGGATACACCCCAGAAGGGATGCCAGCTCATTGCAGAGCAGACAAACACAAAACAACACACACTCACACTAGGGCCAATTTAACAGAAACCAATTAACCTGCCAGCATGTCTTTGGACAGTGAAAGAAACCATAGCACCTGGCTATGGCACCCCAGGAATTGAACCCAGGGCCCCTGCATTGTGAGCCAGCAATTGTAACCACTGTGCCATGCACCGTGTCTCCTTTGACCATTTTTTTTTTTTATTAAAAGATAACATATTCAATTATTTTTAAAAAGTTTGTTAGAAACAAATCTACACATGGTAAACATGTTTTCCTCACCAACCGCAGGAGGAGAACCCTAACAAACCTTGTGTAGCACCGGCTACTGACATAGAAAGCTATATTAGAATGGACTTTTTCAATGGGCTGAAACAATTTTTGGTGTGTCCTTTTAGGCTTATCTTTAGAGCGTGCGTCTGGGATTCATTTCTCTCTTTACCCCCCAGTCCATTATAATATTATGAAAGGCTGCTGCTTACCATCATCCAGGTCTTGCAGGATAATGACCTTGGTGGATGGGTACTCCTGACCAAGGCGCCCACCCATGGGCATACTCAGGGTCACATTGAAGGTCTCCTCTTCCTCGTAAAGTGAGTCATCGATTATAACGACCCGGCAGAACTTGTCCGTCTCATCCTTGTCAAAGCGCAGCACGCTGGTGTGGTCTTCGGGCCTAGAGATGTAGTCCGAGTACGACAGCACTGTGCTGGGAATGGTGCCCGTGGCTGTGGCTGGAAACAAAAGGTGCCAGAGATATGTCACCTGCAAACACCTTCTTTCAGACCTCTCCGAGATCAAGCCCACATGAATAGTGGACAAGCCCATGGTGGCAAAAGGCCAGCCTATCACTAAGGGAGACTGGAGCTCTCTTGGGAGAGCTACTATATGCTACAACTTTGTCATACATATGCCTACATTACATTTACATTTAGAATAGTTCTAAAAAGCTTTAGCTCGTCTGGGCAGCAGTTGAAACATTAGAGCTTCATAAAGTGATCATTCTTTAACTATTTGACAAGAAATAAGACTAAAAAGGTTAACATATTTTTTCTATTTTTTGTAAAACCCCAGCTACATAATTAAAATCATAAGCAAACCAATTGTCTACTAAGAAAGCTAATAAAAAATGTCAATTCAAATGTCATTTTCACATTTCTTTGTACTAGGTACTAAGTACATAAAAGCCTTGCTTCACCTAGCTGATTGTTTCTCTTGTCTTGTCTACAGTATCTGAATTTTGTTCATTAAATCCATACAAAACTGCATTATTAGTCTTGAGAAAATTACTTTTGATTAAACTATTTTTTCATACTTAGATGTCATATTCCTAGCAGTTATGAATTATAGTTTTTAATTACCTATACAGTATATTCTAAATTACATATTTAAAATGTTGAATCATAAATCAGAATAATAAGTATTTGACATGTTAGAATTCATATGGGGTATATAGATAGCAACCACCACAAACCTTTTATCAAATTCTACTTTTCTTCCTTTCCAGTTTTATAAAAGAAAAAAACCTTCCTAAAATTCCAGCAGTTTTAATCGCAGTGTAGCAACAACAAAGATTATATATTTTTTTAAGCACTAAACAATATGGGTTGAGATGCAAAATTGTGGCATCAGCAATAAAAAAAGAAATGAAAAAAAAATGAACACTAAAAAGCAGTGAGCTATTTCTTCCAAAGAATGTTAAATTATCTTGAGAATGTACACAGGGATCAGGCCCTATGGTACCTTGCTGAGTGTAGCACATGACCATTAGCTCTTGGCTGACATCCCCACTTCTCCTGACCGGTATCATCAGTTCTCCAGCATCTTCCTCAATGGAATAAGAAGACTGTGGGATAAAGACTGTCGACTCTGTATGTGAGAAAAAAAAGCAAAATGCATTGTGATACCATCTAGCTCAATGCGTAATATTAAGACAACCTCTGGACCCAGACCTCCAAAAATGTACTTCTTCTTTGGTTTCAAAGATGGAATTACAGTTATCGTGTGTATAAAACACATGCATTATCTTCTTCTCCCTTTTTGGACTGTCATTTTTAAGTTATTGTCTCATAGCAGCACAGATCAGTTACTGACACTACTGAATTTTCACCATTTAAATTCACTCTGAAAAGGCCTGTTTTAAATGGACTGCAGCATTTGCCACAAATGGAAAGCAGTGTATAAGCCACAAAGGAACTTGTGGAACTAATATATTTATGTGTTGAAAGCATTTTGTCACTGTCGAAAGATCTTATTAGCTATTTTTACTTCAGACTTGAGTAGTCTTGGTATTGTGACATAGTAACAATTGTAGTAGTGTTGTCATTGTTATGTTTTGCATCTCCTTCCAAAATCTAACCCTGTAATTTTGAGATGAAAAACTGTGCCGGTACCTACAATTTATCTCATTCAGTTTTTCAGCAAAGGTATCCAATCTTTATTTATAGAGAGAGCAAAAAAAAAGGACAATGCGCTTTAGAATAAACACAGTGGAAGCCAATCTTCTATTTGATAAGACAGGCTTTTATAAAGTGAACAGTTCTTGAGGACATCACATTTACAATCAAAAGCAATGTAACTTCCTGGGATGCGAAAAAAAAAATACATTTCTTTTAATTAAAGGTTGCATAAGCATAAGAAAGGATGGTAATGAAAATGGAGATCGCTGATCTAAATAGTTTCACGCAAACCTGTTATTTTGAATTCTGAATCAGGCTTGTAATTCTTTTTCAGAGCCATTTTCCTCAGAGGTTAAAACACACTTGGAACACATGAATGCATCAAAAACAAACAAGATATGGAACCCAAATAAGTGTTGATACGTTTATGTTTAGGATGTCTTTTGACCAAAAACACACTACAGTGTGGCATATAGCTTCCCAACAGTGGACAAATCACCTCAGAGTCTGGTAAAAAGTATTACATATACTGTATGTCATTAATTACATATTTAGATCAACCATGTTACTGAGAATACAGTTTGGAACAAAAAGCAGAATATCTCAACAACAAAATAAATTATTTTTTAAGGAAATGGGAAAAGCAATTTTTTTGCATCCAATAAATCTGTGAAACATAGAAATAAGGCACTCCAATGTGGGTTTGAAAGTTGCTAGCATTCTGTTTAAAACAGTGCTGTTGTTTAACAGTGATATTGTGGGGAACAACAAAGACAGTTTTCCATTGGGAGTCCTGGTTCAATAGTCTTTATTCTACTTCCCTGTTCCAGATTCCTTCTATTTATTTACTCATCCTGTTTGATCTAATCCACAGTACATTCCCTATTTATCTAAACACATTCTTTCCACAGAACAAAACCTGAATCACACTCTACCCATCTCCTCTTCAAAAGAAATATGAAGAGCTGTAGAAAGTGGATATCTTTATGAATTATATGATTTTTCAAATTATGGAGGTGGTTCTTAAAAATCACCTTCATCATCTTCTTCTTCTTCTTTATATATATATATCAATTCATGTTTTGGCACTGGTTGTAAAAGTTAACATTTTCTGCCCGAAATAAACACAATTTCAAAACCTACAGAAAGTTTGTTCAAGCATCAGCCTTTGGTGCAATGTCAGATAAAGTTTTGTACATCAACACATTCTCTCAGAAATACACTGCTCAGCTCATCTCAGAGGTAAAAAACCAGAAACAACAACAAGAAAAAAAACCTTTTAAATATTCTAGGCATGCTTGTCAGCAAGTTGAAACCTGCGTTTTAAAAAAAAAACTTTCAGAAAAGAGGGTTTTGACAAATTCCCCAAGAAGTCAAAATGATGATCATTTAATGAAGACAAATAAAAAAAACAACTTTGCAAAAATACATGTGTGATGCGATAGATTCAATGTCAAATGTTTATAGTGTCCCCAAAGATAAGAAAAAGGTTTACATTACAACTAAATGTCAACTTCCATTTTTTTCTAAATTATTTGAAGACTTTTTCTTCTATTCTTTGTGTTCTATACTCTTATCTAATTTGGTACTCCTGGCAAATCTGCCTGAGAAATGAAATTTGCAGCTACGATATATATAGTTTTGCTCAGGAGAGCAAAAGATATGAGCAACCTAAAGTGTAACATAAAAGAAAAGATCTCTCATCTTCCTTGTAAGTTTCACAGGTTAGAATTTCAAACTTTCTCCAATCAATCTGCAACCTATTAATCTTTCAGAAAAATAGCTGAATGGTGGCGGCACTTAAAAAGTCTGGAATTTCAACTACAGAATTGTCAGAAAAAATAAAAGCAAAGTTGAACAGGCAATTAACTCAATTAAGAAACAGAGAGCCCATATAAGATGAGAATCAGTAACCCTTGAGGGTCATGAGAACCAACCAATTGGAAATCATTCACAATTCTCACTTGCTGATGAGTGTGGCCAGTGGCTGTGAACTGCACCTAGTAAAACCATAGTGAGTGCCCTTGGATAAAGATGTCAGCCAGCCAAAAACATAAAAAGAATACAATGTATACTTTATGTAACCAAGTGGCAATGTGTAGGCACAGGAGTCCGGAGTAGCGTCCTCACTCTGACTTGTAGTTAGATTCCCACTACCAGCTATACCAGTCCTGGGAATTCCTCTGAAACCCTCCCATGTTTTTATTCTATTATTTTATGGTTAGTGATGTCAGTGTTTTGCTGTTTATGGTTTAAGATACAAGTGTTAAACACTATTAGTTACTGTAAATGTGTTAAGCTCTTAGGTCAACAGTGTCTGATGGGAGTTAAGAGTAATTTAACTGTACTGTTAGAAATTATGATGTTAATTTTGTGTTTAAACAGTAATGTATATGTAAAAGTTTTAAATGGGAGAATTTAAAATGTATGAGGATGGGAGTTCCCCACTACCAGCTGCAGTGCTCCTATTAATTCCTCTGGAAACTCTCTCAAGATTTTTGCTTTTTTAAAATATTAAATAAATAAAGGAATCCTGTGTTAATTTGTTCTGCATGTGGACCTCTGACAACAGACCACCAACGGTGAAGCTGCCAGGAATAGGAGGGACCTGTGGCACGTCACCATTGACAGACAGCCATGACATAGAGTACAGTAGATGAGTCGTGACATACAGTAGATGCTGTCAGGAAGTGGGTTTTATGGGAATTGTAGTTCCTAAGATAAACCTGTGTCTGTAAGTGATCATACACTTTCTACACTCAGCTCACCTTGATGTTAACCCATGTGCCCTGGCAAGCAGCATAAAATATTAGCTACTGCCTTCTATGGATACTTATTAAGACAGGGTTACAAATACAAAATACACAATGTAACAAACAACTCTCATGCATCCCACTTTTTTAAAAAAACCCTACAACATTTCCTTATTCCTGCTGCTGAATCTTATCAACAAGACGATAAATATCACAGGGCAAGACATGAATAGAGTTTCTAACTTTCATTATGTTATCAAAGTGTATGAAATCTAGCCTTAGACTAAACATTTTCTATCAAAGGGAATTCTATTAGAATATAAACAGTTTCCTGCGTAGCTATGCTATTTAGACGTTTTAAAAACCTGTTCAAATACTTGTTTCTGCAGCTGTTAGAACCACTGTGCTGACAACCACCCTCTCTTTGAACATCTAAACCGTATGCAAACTTTAACGAAGTTTGGAAGCACCTTATCTGAAGAGGCCAAGACTCAGAGGCAAAAACACTCTAAACCCTGTCCAATCCCTTGCATATAAATGAGATTGTGATTCTCAGGGCAGCATGTCTAACACACTTGCAGCCACACACCTCATCCATAAATCCCCAGGGCCATTTCAGACACATTAGAAAGCATGATCCGCAAAATCAAGTGCAGATGTTGGCTGAGCAGACGTTAGGCACTTGTTGCTCTTATCAACAGCGCACCTTCACTCATACAAACGAATCCTGCACTTTGGCTCCATGGCCTGTGGACTTTTATCACACAGAACACGAAACAGATGGAGAATGATTTGGTTTCTCTGCAACGTTCCAAAACTCAGTGTTATTTTGACAACAATCGTGTTTTTTATCTTACAGTACTTTCTCACACCAAATTCCAGGCAGGGTTGTAAAAAGGAGCCCAGAGCCAAGAAGAATTGTGAAGGCAATCATTCCACTTATGTTCCAGCACACTTTTAGCAAGTTTTAAAATGTCAAAATTTGAACAAAATCAATGGCAATAATAACATTATACATCTGTGCATACTGTATGCTGCAACATTAATTCTAAATAGGTCTGCGACATCTGGGCTTTGAAAATTCAATTTATGAGGCAGTTTTTAAAAATCATTGTTTTTCTACAAATTGCTTGTGTTTTTTACCCCCTGGGTTGCTTTAAGGAGTGTTGGAAGAACATAACAAACATTCAGTGTGTTCAATTATTTCCTTTCTCGTCTAGTCCCACAGTCTCAATGTGGCACGATCCAGGGGCCGTTAAGTTGATAAGTGTCTGTCTAAAACCATTTTCCATCAAGCATTTCTTGTTAATGATTATAACTGACTTGCCATCTCTTAGGTTCTGGATCAAATTAAAGAAAATTGACTTTTTGTGGAGCTGTTATTCAGTCAATAATGTGACAGAAGTAACTTTTTCAAATGATTAGCTCAAAAGTACTATAATGATAAACTGATTTATTTAGGGTTTAAGCAAGGGTTTTGCCTTCATATCTTTTTTGACACAATAATTAATCTTTATTAGATGGATCTCATGCACATGAGTTTTTAAAGTTTACTTAGCCCCCTTAAAATCAGTAAGAGATCAAGACTAATAAAGTGATAATGAAAGCTCTCCTGAGGAGCTGTTGGAACTTTAATAAGCCAGCATGAGCACTCCATGATTCTCTTTGAACACACTGCAGAGCCAGCAATAAAGCTATCTTTTATAAATGCAACTGTATGAGCAATTAGATTCATCACAGATTGGAATGTTAACAAATGTGTCAAGGGGCAAGGCAGAGATTGGAATCAAAAGGTTTTGATCTGTTCTAAATATATAAAAGTGATCAAATCAAACTTTTGACTTGCCTGTCACCTGGCAATTGAAAATTGCAGATCTGAAATTCAGAGGAACCTCTTTATGATTGATCCATCATCATCATCATCAATTACTACTACTAATATTGCTATATTCTCTGCTGTGTATTATTGTGAGAATCCTTAAGTGGCTTTTTTAAACTGTATGGATGTCTACAGAGAAACAAATTAAGTAAATAAGGACAGTCCCATTTATATTGAGCTGGTAATTGTGAAGGTGTAGCTACTATGACATTCTATATTGGCTGATCATGTAAAGCCAACTTTGAGTTGTTGCATTCAGATATTTTGATGAATATGACTAAAGTGAATTAAAATTGCTACATGACAAGCTAGGTTTTTTTCCAACCCAAACTAAGCTGTATTAATATAAAGTTAGAAAAAAACTTGTGGAGGGTTTGAGCAAATTGTTGAATCTCACAGCATGCATGCAGTATACCTTCTGACGGTGTCTAAGACTTTTGCAGTGAATAAGTTGACAACAATTAGTTTAGTTTAGTTGACAACTTTATTTAAGTCAACAATGGAAAACTCCAGATATTTAATCCTACTTCCATGTCATTTTTCTCAAGTGAAATAATTATTTGGATCAGTCAGATCACCATCTGAATCAGTCAAACCATCTGTTTTGTGGTTGTATCCAGTTGCTAACTAAAAACTACCTACAGGACTCCCGTTCACAATTGTAACTGCTCATCCCCAATGTTTGCCAAAATACTCTAAAAGCACAATTCCAAAACTGTATAAAGAAAACTTTTTCACTGATCTGAAACCTAAGAATGTGGCAGTGACATTTTGCTGTTGGGTCAATGTTTTAATTCCTTACAGATCTTACATATTTTTAAAAAAGACAGCTGGAAATCACAGCAAATGTTCAGTTCAAGGAGTGTGGGCTTAGGGTGGCCCTTTGATATGACTCTGTTTGAACATCTTCGGGATGAATCATCCTACAGTACTTCTTTATTCACACTTTGTTACCTTTCAAAAAGGAATGGAGGTTTCATTATATCTCTCCCCTTGGGACCCCTAGATTTTTACAGTGCTTCAAGGCAAACTACAATAAGATCACATAAAGGAAAAAAGATTCTAAGAGAACATGTAATCTGCAACCCCAAACATTGCTGCTTTTAAACAGAGATAAACAGTAGAGAGACTCCTCCACTTGATATATGCTGTCACTGAAGCATATAAAGTACATCAGACATTCTGCTATTTGAAATGAAGACTCCCTCCTATACATTTAAATTGATAAAACTGTTAATGTAATGTGGCATCCCTTGCAAAGGGTGATAATCTGCAAGGATAGAAATGGGATTCTACAACTGCTAAATGCCAATGTTGCATTACCTGAAAGGTCAGACTGCTCTAGGAGATGAAAATATTTTCTCGTTCTTAGAGGAAGGCCTTACCTTTTTTCACATAACATTTCACCTAACAATTTAATATGGCAACAGTAATGTAGGTGGCAGTGTTATTTTCTTGAGTTTACAGTATGTTTTGAGCAAAAGCAATTTACAGAAACCAAGGGGTTAACTAGATAACAACAAGTATTGCTGCAATGTCCCTACCGACAGGACCTTGATTATACGTACAAGGGGATTGTGCAACTTTCTCAGGACAACACAAAGCAAGCAAGTGCCTGAGCTGGAGCCTGAGACAAAAATCTCTTGGTAACAAGCTCTTGACTTTAACCACTGGCCTACTTAGCCTTCACTTCAGTCAACTTTGAAGCAGCAAGATATTTCCTTAATGGGGTACATATAGTTAACATCTAATCTTTTGAAACACACATGCCTTCTGAGTAACCACAAGAGTACATCAATCTTGTGGCTACCACCTTCGCACTAGACCTTTTTGGTGATGTGGTAATGTTTTCACCCACTCCAGCATTGCATGCCTCATCTCCAGACCAGATTACTACTCCAAAATTTTATGTTTACATTTGCTCCATAAAATTATTGTATTTAGGTTGTAATTGCGTTTCTACTTTGTAAATCCATTTGTTCATTTTCAGAATGAGACTAACCCTGGCAAGAGCTATAGTGAACCAGAACCTAACCAAGATGAACAGAGCACCAGGTTGGGCTAACTTACTTTGTATTGTTTAAAAACAATTAAAAAGCAAAATCCTTACAATTGATTTCATTGTATCTGTTATGTTATTTACAGTACAAAAGCCTTTGACGTTTGCTTATTTTTTGACAACCCCACAGAGACTCCCGCTGGAAGACTGATATTAAGTTGAGCTCCAATTGAAAAATAAAAATGAATCCTTGTTTTTGAAGATGCTAATATATCCCAAAACATAATTTTGTATTAGTATACGGGCACTACAGAAGACAAAGACCAATACCATGGTGCTGTAGCTTTATTGCTGGCGAGAGGTAATGGGGTGCCATTCTGGATTGTAAATCTGGCAGTGACCTAGACAGAAGCCCTGTTAAGGTTTGACACAACAGAGCTAATGTGCTGTGGCAGAGAAGGGAAGGCAGATGAAAGGGAAACACTAACATTAAACAAACAGGTCAAAGAGCACCATGTACTTCTTACTTCCCAACAGAGAACTGGTGAACCTACTGCCACTCATGTCTGCAGTATAATGCACCTGTTGTCAAACCGACTTGCTCTCGTCTTTTTGTGAGATAATTCGATTTGTCACCTTTTACCATAAAATTGAGGAGAAAGGATAAAAAAATAAGATATATTTTTTGTTATGAAGCTGGCCCACCCCTCCCTTAAAGCCTTCTTTAATCTTGCAAAAAGTATTCGTTAAAACCTTACTGGAGACATTTTCACACCTAACACAATAACTATAATACTATTTGTGCATCAAATGAGGAACGTTGAATCTCTTTCTGAAATGTTAAGGCAGAGGTACTCAAAAGGCCATTAATAGATAAAAGTCACCCCTCAAGCTCTTTTTGCAATAACACAAAATATTTTTAAACTGAAAACCCCATCTCTGCTTTAATGGTGTGGATAAGCTCTAGATCCCTTTTATCACTGTTCAGACAGAACATGCCGAGTGAATTGTCCCTCACCTTTGCTCCTTTCTCTGCATTTAGTTGCTGCAAGTATAAAACAAGAATGTTTCAAAGAATTCAGTTGTTGCCTCTTTCTATCTATTAGCGGACTAGACTGGTAAAATACAGGGAATTATCTGGTGTTGTGTTGACACTGCTGTAGTAGGTTCTGAAGTGAAGGCGATTTATGTTTAAATTAAGCATCTGCGTTTTCAAAACGTCAAAAAGAAAAAAAGGAAAAGTGAAGGACTTACCATCAGCTGGGTCAAGGATCTCCACTGTGGCAATTTCAGGAAACTCTAGAGCAGCCATGACTGGTTCGGATAGGACAATTTGAAACGTCTCAGACTGCTCATACTCCTGGTCAGTCAGGATCCGAACTTTCCACATTGCCGTGGTTTGGCCTGGGTTAAACTGCACTTGCTTCTGCAGTTTCCCCCTAAAATCTTTGTCTTTTTCCGCTGTGCCATCCTTGGTGCCAATGCCTGTCAGGGAATCAACAAGAAAAGCCCATCAATGAAAGGCCTGCAGAACGCATGTAAATTCATATACACTTACTGTTTACAAACAGACATGTTTTTAAATTTGCTTTAAAAAAAATCAAAGACCTAGAGGCCAGCCACTGGGCCTGCCTTTGTTCTGCTTTTCCCAAACATCATCTCCCTTATCCGAGGAGGACAAAGCTTTCCAGCATATAGAGAATAGAAGTAAACTGCGATGGAAATCCAATTTTTTTTAATTCAGAGCTAATACAGTCACCTCCAGTTTCAAAACACACAATTGTAAGGTCCTATAAAAATTTTCTAGCCAATGTAATGCCATCAGTTCCAGTGTAAAGCCATCAAAGGCCTTGTGAAAAACTTCTTTCCTGAGATTTCTGTTCTGCTGTCAAGGGAAAGACTTCAGAAAATGGTGTCACATGGATGGTCTCATCTCAGGGTCTGCTTCTAAAAGGTTATGTCTACCAATGGGACAGGATAATCAATTTTCTGTCATCCCTGACACATAAGGCCATTTTCAGCTCTGTCAGTCAGGCCCCTACACGTACATCACCGTTGTCTCATTCGCTTTTTTAAGCTGGTCTCCCGCTCAGTTGGGTGCCCACCATGCCTGCTGAAAAGTGTTTGATCTCAACAACTTCAAGCTACAGAGCTGGCAGATCACCTTCTGTCTGGGCTGTTATGACAGCTGCTGTACGCTACAGAAACTCGCCGAGTTCTTTTTGATTCCAGTGCGCCACACTGCAGGACACTGGCTTTTAATAAAACATCAGACCTCAGTGGCTATTGCTAAGGTCAAGATGGTAACTTTTTTGCTTATGCGTGGCTGTAAATGTATGAGCATCGCAAGCCATTAAGCCTTAAGGACTGTTGCCACAAAACCCACACTAATATCTAATTTTGTCATTGGTTCACACAGCTTTAAAAAATCCAGCCAAGATTCAAACAGTATACAGTACACTGGAAAAAAAAATCAAACTTTGCAAAAATCTTCAAAGTAAGCCCTTGAGTAAAATGAATGATTTTTCACATCCATATTTATTCTTGCAGTAGGAGTCAGATTCCCTTAGGATCAATAAGTTCATGAACATGCTGTGAGCACACTTTTCTTTGTTAAAGCTGCAGTAGAAAAATCCATTGTGATAAAAAGAGGGTATAGCACAGTCAACTCTTGAAAGAATTAGAGCTAACATTTACAGTTACTAATGGTTAACATTGCCACCAGGAGTCAACACTAAAACAAGAGAATTTTCTTAGCTAAACTGTGACAAGACTGAGGTTATGCCTTCCAAAATCAGTTCAACAAAGCTGGTAACTTCAGTGCTGCTGCTGACAGTGATTAAATAAAACTCTTTAAGATTTAAGAAACATTAGTGTTAAATTTGACCCTGTGTTGACTTCTTTAGTTTATCTTTAAGTTTATCTTTCTCCCACCTGTGTGATACTGTTTGGTTAAGACTTTAGTTCTGGTACGTGATGCTGAAATATTGATTTATGCCTGTATTTAATCAAGATTAGACTACTCTAATGCCTCACTTATTGGGGTATTGACTAAGGTGCTAAATATTATTCAGTATGTCCAGAATACTGTGGCTCACGTGCCAACTAAAAGTACACTGAATCAGCATGTAACATTTGTCTTCTGTAAATTATGATTGCTCCCCATGAAATTCAGAATGGGGAGCTGGAGCCTATACTAGAAAGCAACAGGCACAAAGAGGGACTCCAGTCCACTGCAGGGCACACACAGACATAGACACACTAGGGACAACTTTTTCCTGAAGCCAATTACCCTACTGTACCAGTATTTAACTATCAGTAGGTTGAAAGCCAGTTATCCTACCAGTATGTCTTTGGACTGTGGGAGGACATTGGGACACCCAGTGAAAACTCACATGAACACAGGGAGAATATACAAACTCCACCAGCCTGGGAATGGAGCCCAGGGAGGGCCCTAGAGCTGCAACACTGTACCCCAGTGTCGCCCATGTACAGTATATTCATATGATTGTTCTACCATAGATAATTTTTTTCCACTCTAAAGTCTGAACATTTGCAGTCTTTTCCAGACCTGAAGAAATACCAAAGTAGCAAAACCAAAAGAAATTAAAATCTATGTGAACACCTAATCATTCTGTCTTTCGGTATGGGAGACATTAGGTAGGGTTACATAAATAACAGTCACTAATGATAAAAAGAGATTTGCTGTGTAGGCTGACTGGGTGCTCTGCCTAATCAGCACTAGAAAAGATGGATCATCAGTCTGTGTAGGACTCCCTTCTCTGACGTTAGGAGTCCTCATTTGTTTTCAGAACTAAAAGTTTATACTTCAAGATTAATGCAACAGCCTGTGAGTAATGAGCACAGGCTAAGGATCTTGGAGCAGCAAGCTGAAAGTCAAAAGCTTCATTTAAGGAGATGTGGAGTACTGTATTTACTCTCCTCCTAACTCAAGCTTTTCATCCTGCTGGTGATAGGCAGGTGATGAAAAAAATCCCTCCTCTAAAAAAAACAACAACTGTAAGTTTTCATGTTCTCTCAAAAGAAAAATAAGCTACCTTTTAAAATAGTTTTGAGAAGGGAAAATACATTTGTCAGAAGGAAAAATGAGGGGTTCCAGTTCCAAAACAGACCTTCCAAATGCAATTCTAGTTTAACTGAATCAGTTTTAAATGTCAAAATACTTTTTGACTGTAAATCAAAGATCATGGCCAGAGAATCCCAACTATGAAACTGCATAAAGTAAAAATCACTCCTATTTTAAGCACAAAGGCATTTGGAATTTTTTTGATGAACATATAAACACAGCACTTTTTTATAAAGCACAATAGGCTTATTCCCACCAGTTTTAAGAGAGAAATTTTAAATTTGCTCTTGTCATTGGCTTCTTTAACAGAACATTGTAATGTTCATAACATTGACATAAAAGAATTTTGATCAAACATTAAAAAACGTTTTACAAAAAATCATCTTTCTCTCCCTTAACTTAGCACTTAGTAATAAACTGTTCAACAGTAATTTATCCAGCCATTCTAGCAGGTAAGAAATGCTTGAGTCAAAACTAAAAAGTCACTTCTAATACAGTACACCTTTTATATGTGCTAACTAAAACAGCTTAAAAAGAAAACAGCAAATTAACTGCATCTTTCTATGGTTAAAAAGTGAATATTTAAGTTTCATTTGCTTTGTAGTCAGGCTTTCTTAAACCTCTTAAAGTAGCTAGCTAATCAGTAGCTAATCAGCTATAAATAGTCATACAGTGTTTTATAATAGAATTTTATCCAGAAAATCAATCCAAACCAACAAGAGATAAAAAGTGTCAGCTAAACGTTATTTAAATGATTTGATATCCTTTAGGAACAAAAATTTATAATATGATGATTCTCAGATGACTCTGTAAGGGCGATGCTCTCTTAACTGCAGTCAAGGAAAAGCCTCAAAAACCAATAACAAAATACAATGAACTAAACATAACGTAATGCACAAATCCTGCAAGACCTGCAAGTATATGTGTGAGACAGCCACATTTGGATAGAGTTAGATTACACATTATTTTTAATTAATAATTTTAATTAATAATTAATATCATGAAAAAAATCTTTATTTAAGCATTTACAGTGCATTTGAAGACCGAAAATTGTGAGGCTTTTTTTGTGTGGGGGTGTTGGTATTATGCTTACAAAGCAGCAGAGTTTCTGTTATTCAGTCCTCAAGAGTAAAATGTCAGCTCCCATTGCAAAGATAGCAAATATCTTTCTGTGGACACCACTAATTTAAACTTCACCCGGGCTTAGAGGCTAATCAGCTGAAAAAACAAGACCCTTGCTTTGCTCTTCTTTTTTGGGAGGAGTTCAGTGTCAAAGGCGAGCTTATTGGAAATCATCCAACATTTTCACCTTGCCCACTTACTGACAAAGGACGTCTCCCCCAGGTAACCCCGCCGCTTCAGCACCACCTCCAGAAACTTGGCCTCTTCGTCCACCACGTAGTACTCCTTCTCCAAAGAAATCCAAGCCCAGTTCAAACGGAAAAACTGATTCCTCAGCTTATTTCCCCCTGCAGGACAGACAAAAAAAAAACAATGGAATTTTTAAACAAATTACTATGTTTGAATTAACCACTTTGAAGGTACTATTGGACATTGGAAATCAGGAGCACAGCTACACTGCATATTTTCAAACTTCTGACACACTGTATACACTGTACAAAATACATGTACTGTATGTGTGCATGTACAGTATCTACAGTGAGAGGCACTGTCAATGCAGCAAACAAGCAGCATTTGTTTGCAATTTTAATTTTGTCAGTATTTATATATTCTGTTTAAAAGGTCTGTTTACAGGTCTAATAGTTGTATACAGTATCAAAGCACTAATTTCCAGATTCTCTAATCCCACTGTCTTTTGTTGAATTAAAACATGCAGCCTTGCAATTTCCCTCCTTAAACTCTGCAGATCACCTACCTAGAAGTAACGTTTGATATCCTGCCAGGTAAGCTGATTCTTACCTTAGCAATTATGGCAAATGAATGATCAGCTATTGTACTCAGCTGAGAGAAAGATATAAGAGAGGAACTGTAGAACTCCATTACAGCTAGCCTTAGCTGCCTGACTTCAAATTGAGTTAAAAGGCGAGACATTTTTTTAAAACTTATTTTCTACTTCTCCTTTGAAGTTTCAGAATCAGAGCACAACCCTGTGCATTCCTTCGGGGCTTCATTGCCAGCCAGGCCGATATACACAAAGAAAATTACTAATATAACAGTAGCTACACCTCAAGGGGAAAAAATAAGTCTGCCCTCTCAAAAACCATGCATTTGTTGATTAGAAGAGTGTCTGACTTCATAAAAACTTGCAATAAATTTAAATATGTTATTAATTGAACAGAAATCCTCCCTAGCATTGATTTATAAAGCCAAGAGTAAGTACAGAGGAAATTGGTCGGGTTTGCTGTAGTTAAGCTTGATTTTAAAGGCTTGTTTGGATCGATTTGGTAGTAACAAGACCTCTAACTGTTGCCAGCTACCCTCTAGCTGTCACATGCTGCAAATCCATCACGTTTACCCTGACCAGTCTGGCATGCTGATATTGTTTCATGAATGAACTTGGCGCTTGCATCAAGTGCTGCACCGCACTCAGAGATTTGTGGGAAGAGAGGTGGGGGATGGGTTGTGAGGCACACAGGGTTTCGGGCTAAAAGATGGCTAAAGGAAAATACCCAGGGTTTCCTTAATTAAAACATAATGGAACTAGATTGAAACTTCAAGGGAAAGTCAACAATGTAAGTTAAGGCACACAAGCTACATGAATTATTAACATTATTTAAAGGAAATGCTAAAAATGCTTTATCTCTGTGCAGAACCTAAACATCTGTCTGTTTTCAACTATTTTATTGGCCTTCAGCCACATACATTCTACATAGACAACTAATTGTGTTTCAGAATATCTGTAAGTTTAAAATAAGAACGGAAATTAGAAAAATGTTTGGAAATGGAGGCTTTTTTAAGTTGAGCACTTTACATCAACACCTGTTTCCCATGTAGGATCTGTCTGTTTTATCATATACTACACTGTCACATACAGATTTACTAAACCAAAAGGTTTGAAGGAGTATCCTAATCTTGCAAGCTAAAAGTCTTCTGGTTTCAAACAGTAAACAGTGAAGGAACTGAAGTAAGAGATAACATTACTCCTGTCTTGGAGTCCTTGCACTGGCTTCCTGTCAGGTTTCATGTTGACTTCAAAATCCTCACCTACAAGGATTGGCACCTCAATACCTGTCTGATTTACTCCCCACCTCCTTTTGTTCAGGAAATCCTGGTCCCCCGTGTATCCCCCAAGCCCATCCGCACTCTATGGGTGACAGGGCTTTTTCCCTTTATGTCCCAAAGCTCTGGAAGTTTTATCCCTGATGATATCTCATTCCCTGAGCTCTTTCAAATCTAGTCTCAAAACCTCTCTCTGTAAAGCCACTTTTAAAGGCGATATATAAAATAAAGTTGCCATTTATTGTATTGTTATCATTATTTTATTACTATTGCAGTATTCAAAACTGGCTTGGGCATTGGGAAAGTCAACCCAGTGGACGTCTTCATAATTAACAGCGAAACACAAACTCAAGCTACAACTACATGAAAGTGAAAAGAGGGTATTTCTTTACACAGAGGATTGTAGGAAGATAAAATAAGCCACCCAGCCATGTTGTTGAAGTTAATATCCTTACTGACATATTTCAAGGAAGAACTGGACAAGGTCCTGGGATCAACTACAGTATCTGTTTACAACCAAACAGACTAGGCTGAATAGCCTCTTCTTATTCGTAACCTTTCTTATCCCAGGGTGTTTCTTGAAAAGAGCAGGGGTGTTCCCCCCCATCCTGGCCAAATTTCTTATTGGCCTTTATCAATTATGACCTCCTAATAATCCCCATCTATGACTTCATCACTCTTCTCTCCTTCCCACTGATACCTGATGTGTGGTGAGTGTTCTGGTGCACTATGGCTGCTGTCAAATTGTCCAGGTGGGGGCTACACATTGGTGGTGGTGGAGGGGAGTCCCCATTATGTGTAAAGCGCTTTGAGTGGAGTGACCAGAAAAGCGCTATATAATCGTAAGGAATTATGTGCTTGTCGGTGGTGAAGTTTTGATAGATTCAGGTCTGGTAGTTCTGGTAGCATTACCATTCTTTGTTTTGCCCTGTCAACTCCACCCCTTTGCTCATATTTCTGATCCTTCCCTCTCTTTTTGTGTTTTGTGTTGCTTTTCATTTTTCAGAGTTGAATTAACCTTGCTTATTCCTTTGCAGCTTCAAGGTGATGCAGCTCTGCACTCTTAACCTATTATTACAATACTAATCATGCAGTTAATTACTTGCTGGCACTGCAGTACTTCTATAAATAAGTTTGGAGACTCAGTCCACTGCAATAATTTCCTGCAATCAAAGTCAACATGAACTTAAATGACATGTAAATTAGTTTTAGAAACCAAGGAACAAATACCTGTGCACACCAGTAACAAATGTAAGTCCCAGAATAAAATTAAGCAGGACTTTTTTCAACCAAGGCAAACATATCTGACCCATTGTAAGATGTCAATTAAGGTAAATCAGGAATCAAATAAGGACTTTTTCAAGGTTCTGTTGTTTTCCAAGAACAGGTCCTTAAAGCCACAGAATCTCCAAGTGGAGTTCAGTTTAATCTGTTTTTTTAATAACCCACACTCAAGAAGCCAACTAGAACAGGAGGATTTTTTCAGGCTGTTCCACTTCATTCATCTGAACAAACGCACAGACTTTTAATTTGCTCTCTGTTTAGCTCCCTTGATAAGGCACTGGAGAAAAGCTGGCTGAGCATCGCAAGTAAACACAACGTGTGTGATCCTTGGAATGTGACAGCTACTGTTCAGAAAGTATGACAAATTGAAGGCATTATCCTATTAATGTATCCTTCAAGCTGCTTTGCAGTGCTGTAATCTTTTTCAACTGCAGTGAAAAAATACACAAACAAGCAAAAAGGTTGTGCTGTTCACTGGGCATTCAAATATTTGCATTTATTACACTATTACAAAACAATTTTAATTATTATCTTACAATATACTGTAGTAACACTGGTATGTGATGAGATATAGTTTTTGTTTTTTCTGCTTTCATCACACTCCTGAAAGAGCTCATTAATACATGTGCATTATTATTATTGGTCTTACCATTTATGTTTTGCATTATTTGTTGTGACTTTCTTGGCATATTTTACGTTGTGGACTCACAACTGCCTTCTATTGTGTTTTGCCTTTTGTATGGCCAACCATTTCGAAAAGGTTATACCCCGACTGACCTCTGTATACTGTAGATTGAAATTATATCCCACATCAGGGGGAACTGGAGGTTCGGTTTAGAGTATTTAAACTTACTGTAGCACTTGTGAGGAGACTAGTTAGTGTGGTGAAGGCCTACTTGTGTGAGGGAAATAACTATGTCAGCTGTTTTATAGCAAGAGTTTCCTGTGTTCAAAGCCTGTATTAGTGCCTCTAATAGTGGTGAGTCTGCTGGGAGATACTGTAAATTTTTGTTCTTGCTATTTTTTTTATTCTTATCCGTAAATGATTTGTCTTGCTGTAATTAAACAACTATTATTAATTACATTTTATTAATAATATATAATAATATACATTATTAGCACTTTATTTTTGGGAATCTGTTTCCTTTTATAAACTCCTGTGACACCCTTCATGTAAAGACAGAGCATCGTTTATTATAATGCAGCAGTTTGCTATTACAGTGATGACCTGAAATCCATTTGGGCTGAATTAAACATAAAGTAACATGTGCTATGTCAAGAGATGTGTATAAAACACTCTGGTATCATTACAAATCCACACTATGTTCCTGAAAAATAATGTTGGTTTTATTGTGCCCAATATTTTATTATTTTACATGTGTACCATTTTTGTGTGATGCGGCAAATCACACTGCATCCATCATACTGTGCACAACTAATTACAAGTCCTCTTTAGGTTGTTTTGTGTGACATTCAATGCCATCTTAGAAAAGAAATTCCCTTTTAATCCTGATATACAAACCATCTTCTCTGGATGAAAAGGAAAGTATATCTATTCTTAATTCAGATTATGTAATATAAATCCCACATTCCCACAGTTTTATTTCATCCAACTACTGTATTTCTCACCCTATTTCTGATTGACCAAAGTTATTGACCAAGATTATGTAAAGCAGTACTGAAATAAAGGAGACCTGTGTCTTCTCACTTTAGGTTACACTTACAGTACAGTTTTTCAATACCATTTATAGAAACGATTTGGGGTTGATATTATTTCACTATGAACATAAGAAACCAAAGAGTTATAATTATTTACATTGCTGTTAAACAGATCAGTAAGCTGAAAAAGCACACTCCCTCTTCTACTTGGGTTCTTTTTAAACAAGACTCCAACATGGAAATTTCAAGGAGAAAAATATTATAAACAAAAAAAACCTTGTTAAAACAAAACCTTATATTACTCACAATTACAGAAAAATCAGACTACAAAACAAATACAAAAGAA